TGTTTTACACGATTTTTTCCACTTGCAAGTTATCAGTAGTCATTTCCTAAAATAATATGCACAGTCTTAAAGCTGCAAGCAAATTGTATTGCAAAATAACCAGTCTTTCTTTCTATTTAAAGCCTTGTCATCTTCCTTTTAATTTTAGCTACAATTAGTGCAAGAATGTCACTTTTTATCAAGCACTGAGGTGTGTGGTCTCAGCCTGCCCAGACAGGTCCTGAACAAATGTTTTTTCTCGAAGTTTCAGCAAGAGTAATCTTTGCTTTTGTTATGCAGATTTTGATTTTAAGGTACCTTAGTCTCTGTGCTCCCTCCCTTCCCCCTTGCTTTCCTGGAAGAAGTTCTCTTTTACCAGAATATACAAATAGAGTAGTTGGCACAGCTTTTTTAAAAAAACTGGCTTTGTTTGACAGGTTCATTTTAATGTCCTGTTACAGGTCATTGGGTACAATGCTTGGTATGGTGAGATTTTTGGAAAAAATGCCTCAATTTTCTGTTAGTCATCGTGAAGTTGGAAATTATGCTGCTATCCCTCTTAACAATTTTGATACATGGCAGCCAGCACTGAATTAGTAAACCACATGAAATTTAGAGGCCTGGACATGTTCCCACACTGAGACATCCTAAAAGCAAACTCAGACACTTCAGTTAGAGGCTGGTTGTGACGGGTCCCAGTAGAGCTAAAGACACTTGGCCCAGCACATGACATTATTCCTGACAGCGTTAGTTATTTTTAGCATATGTCCAGAAGCCAGTCTTAAAGCTGTACTTGGATTTGGAGATATTTCGGTTACAAGGGTAATGTAAATGCAGGTAAAACAGGCTGCCATAAACCAAACCCTACTGCCAAACGTGTACATGGAAGTGCAGAAGCCAAGAGCTCTGCAGGGGACTCAGTGCAGTACCTGGCTGTGATGAGCAAGGTCACAGATCATGGTGACTGACTAACACCAAAGTGAGGTGAATTTGCTTGACCAGGCTCCTTCCTTGCTACTCTGTTCTATTTAAGTTTGACTTCCAAAGTAACAGCACCTGCAAGTTCATCAGCTACCTGTGACCAAAGTGAGGTGAATTTGCTTGACCAGGCTTCTTCCTTGCTACTCTGTTCTATTTGACTTCCAAAGTAATAGCACCTGCAAGTTCATCAGCTACCTGTCCCAGTGAGGAAACAAAGTGTAGGAGCAACAGTCTAGTTTTGGGGTCTGATAACAGCCAGCTGCTGCTGTTACCCTGTGTGTCTGAGAGAGGTTAGTCTGGGGGTTAGTCTGGGTTACACTGGGGTTAGTCTGTTGAGTCCACCTTTGCCACTGTCCAGCATATTAAAACTTAAATGATGCTGCTTGAAACCTGCCTTGATTTACCTTCCTGCTGGAAAAGAAGTATGCACAATTGGGCCAGAAGACTAGGAGAAAAAAAGCAAGGTAAAAGAGAATCAAAGATAGATAATTCAATGTTCTAAACCTGTTTCTTCTTTACACACAAGCATTTGGGCTTAGCTCTCAAAACATTTCACTGTCTTGGCTGAGGAAGCTGGCTGGGCTCTGAAATTTGGGTGTGTTTTCTTTGTCCTGTGAATGTGTTGGACTAACAAGTGTTAACTCTGAAGAAGTAGCACTGGAAGAAGCAGAGTAATGTCTTTAAGAAGTAAATAGCAGAGATATGAAAGAGATGGAGGTGGGCTTGCCTCATTTCTTGTAGTCTTTTTGTAGTTACCCTTTAGTGGCAGTGTTTGGAGAGGAACTAGTGAGCTGGACAAACCTTTGGTCTCACCTAGTACAGCTGCTCTTCAGCTTATGGAAGAGGAGTACAGTAAAGCCACTTATGCAGACTGTGTTGAGGTGAGACAGGTGCTACACTCAAGGCTTTCTGACAAACTTGAACTGCAGCAAGGGAGAGCTGGAAAACATTTTCTATCGGTACATTTTCTATTAGGCAAATGAGGAGTTTGTGGGGTTTCTGCCTTTAGAAGTCCTGTGAAAAAGCAGTTACCTAGACTGGTCTTGTGCCAGAAATCTACAAACCTTTCTGTTTACCGAAAGAGAGATATCTCGGTATATGTGTATTTATCTATTAGTATATATGGGTTTTTGATAACACAAAATGTAAATATAAACCATGCCAGTAAATGAGCAGTGAAGTGTTTCCTACCCTCTAGACCTTTTAATTGTTTTCATAAACAAAAATTACCAGGTCTGCTGAGAAGGATGCAGCAGTTTAAGGCAGGATATGTATGTGAGCAGACAACTTACAGTTTTAAAGGAAGTTCAAATCCCTTATACAGAGCGATGCTTTCTTCCCCAGTGCCCTGCCTGTCCTCCCCTTGTTCCCAAGCTACCTCCTGCTGATGTTTCTGTTTCTTCCTTCTCCTGGGCTCTGCGGCTCCTGTCTCCAGGTGGCATGACTCTGGAAAGCACCGTGAAGCTGAGCCCGGGGCAGCCGAACGGCTGGCGGATCCCGTTCAGCCCGCGGGCGGGAGGCTGCGGGGCCGCCATGCGCGCCATGTGCATCGGGCTGCGCTTCTACCAGCCCGCCCAGCTGGACAGCCTGGTCAAAGTCAGCGTCGAGAGCGGCCGCATGACCCACCACCACCCCACCGGCTACCTGGGGGCCCTGGCCTCAGCCCTCTTCACGGCTTACGCAGTGAACAGCGTGCCCCCCGTGGCCTGGGGAAAGGGGCTGATGGAGGTGCTGCCACGGGCAAAAGCCTACGTGCAGGAGTCCGGCTTCTTCGTGAAGGAGAACATGGAGCAATGGTGAGCTGCACTCCCTGCACTGCTGTTTTGTAAAGCCCTTGTATGACAAGGTGAGCTCTGCTCATACTTAAGTTTCAGTAATCACATCATGGCAAACTCCTAGGGCAGCACACACCTGGCACAGGATCAAATCAATTCAGAGTACCTTAACTTGGGGAAAAAAAAAAAAGGCAGGCTGTGTTTGGGTCAGGTACTTGTGACCATTTTTTGGATCCAGTATGAAGTAGGTAGACTTTGTCATCTCATGCAACTGTGATCTTACGAAAGATGGCAAGCAGGGCTGGGGAACCAGCATCAAGCTTAGGGCTGAGCTCAGTTTGAAAGTTATAACCAAATCTGACTGCATATTCACTGCACCTCTGTGTGCAGGGGCACACACAGAGGTAAGAGCTGCTCTGAATTTGAGAGGATGACTCAGTTCTCACTCTGAGCCTTTGAATCCTGCAGGTGCTGGGCTGCCTTTTCCCATGTGACTGGAGGGAGGGGAAATCTAACTCACTGAAACATGTCCTTGTGCCTTTTACTGTAAATCACCTCCCTAGTTTTGACAAACGGGGGCTGCCTGCCATTTTGCTGAACCCTCGCTCCGGGCTCTTGATGTGGCTGGTGCCTGTGTGGGGCTCAGCTGTGTGCTGGGACAACTTACAGCCACTCCATCCCATCCTGTTTGGCAGGTATTACTTCGAAGAGAAGTGGAAAAAATACCTGGAGGAGAGAGGCATCTCAGACGGGGTCTCATCGCCCAAATTCCCGCCCAAGTACGGCGTGGAAGAGAGAGACTCGTTCTACACCTCCCTGAGCTACAGCGGCTGGGGCGGCAGCAGCGGGCACGACGCGCCCATGATCGCCTACGACGCCCTGCTGGGCGCGGGGGACTCCTGGACGGAGCTGGCTCACCGCGCCTTCTTCCACGGCGGGGACAGCGACTCCACGGCTGCCATTGCTGCCAGCTGGTGGGGCGTCATTCACGCCTTCAAGGGGGTTCCCCCCTCCCTCTACGCCCACCTGGAGTACAAGGATCGGCTGGAGAAGGTAGCCAAGGATTTGTACAGCATTATCTAGGCAGGAGATGGCAGGGCACCCTGCAGGCACACTTACCCAGCAGCTGTCCCGTGCTCTCTCACTTGGATTAAATCTCGATAATGTAAGGCAGAGCCAGACCTGCCTTTTCTCTGTGTGCTGGCTTCAGTGGGGAGGCCACGTGGGTGCTAGTTTGGGGCTAGTGGTTTGATGGGAACTTGTGCCTTTTACTGTAAATCACCTCCCTAGTTTTGACAAACGGGGGCTGCCTGCCATTTTGCTGAACCCTCGCTCCGGGCTCTTGATGTGGCTGGTGCCTGTGTGGGGCTCAGCTGTGTGCTGGGACAACTTACAGCCACTCCATCCCATCCTGTTTGGCAGGTATTACTTCGAAGAGAAGTGGAAAAAATACCTGGAGGAGAGAGGCATCTCGGACGGGGTCTCATCGCCCAAATTCCCGCCCAAGTACGGCGTGGAAGAGAGAGACTCGTTCTACACCTCCCTGAGCTACAGCGGCTGGGGCGGCAGCAGCGGGCACGACGCGCCCATGATCGCCTACGACGCCCTGCTGGGCGCGGGGGACTCCTGGACGGAGCTGGCTCACCGCGCCTTCTTCCACGGCGGGGACAGCGACTCCACGGCTGCCATTGCTGCCAGCTGGTGGGGCGTCATTCACGCCTTCAAGGGGGTTCCCCCCTCCCTCTACGCCCACCTGGAGTACAAGGATCGGCTGGAGAAGGTAGCCAAGGATTTGTACAGCATTATCTAGGCAGGAGATGGCAGGGCACCCTGCAGGCACACTTACCCAGCAGCTGTCCCGTGCTCTCTCACTTGGATTAAATCTCGATAATGTAAGGCAGAGCCAGACCTGCCTTTTCTCTGTGTGCTGGCTTCAGTGGGGAGGCCACGTGGGTGCTAGTTTGGGGCTAGTGGTTTGATGGGAACACACACTGGTCCCCCAAGACATCCCTCCTGTGCTGCAGGGTGGCTGCACATCGTCTGGTCCTCAAGAGGAGCAGGAGCACCCACAGCAGCTCTGCTGGTCCTGCTGCAGCAGCAGGACAGGCAGCAAACCCCACTCAAACCCCCCAAACCAGCATCCTCCCCCTACAAGGGGAGCAGGGAGCACCAGCAGCCCATTGTGTCTGGGGACAACAGGGCTTTCTTACAAAATTATTTTATCAGAAGATGTTTTTTGTTTCAAATAAATGTGGAAAAAAACCCCAAACCCGACCTTAAAGCTGTGTGAGCAGCGCATTTTACCCAATTCCACACCACTTCTGCAATACAGGTAGGAATGCATCATGCTACTTCCCTATTTCAGTGAATATGGGAGAATTCAAGAGTCCTGACCAAATCCTTACTTAAGGCAAAAGTGGGTAAGGAGAATTAACAGGTTGTATTGTACATCAGCTTCTGTAGTGAGCTATATTCTGCTTTCATCCAGGTTACTAAAAGTAATTTACTTAACACTTGCTATGCATAATTCTATTAAAATAAGGTTTTTCTTCAAATCCAAACAATGACACAGCAAAGTACTTTTACTGTTTTCAGAACAATTTCAAAACCAGTGTGTTCCGTTCAATAAAAGTCCTGACAGGCCTCTGTTAAATGTTCTATTCTATTATGGCAAGGGGTGAAGGTTGGATGGGGTATAAAATCAGAGGTGCCAGGTGTCTGCAAGCTCCAGCTGCAAGAGAGAGATGTGCTACCAGTGGTAGGGAGAGAAGTTATTGCATCAAGGAGTAGGGGCAGAGGGAGAGGGTTCCCAAGAGGAGGGCCTCAACACACCTTTATGCTGTGAGTGCACATAAAGGCAATAATAAAAGCCCAGATCTGACAAAAACCAGCAGCAATAGGATTCACAATTTCAACACAGTTTACTACAGCTCTCGGGTGTGTTGTATAAAACATGTTTTAGTGCAACATAGTACAAAGTTTTTGTTGTTTTTTTTTTCACTTTTTCCTTTTTTTAAAAATCCCAAACATTTTTTCCACATCATGCATGGATAGGGTCTCTCTCCTTCTTCTTGGGTTCGTTACAGAAAGTTACTGCAGAGAGAGTGGTTTGAAAAGCTTTGTGTTAAAACTCATTACAGGAAGAGGCTGCCTTATAAAAACTGAGAGAAGTTTGACACTGGGCAACACACTGCCAGAGCAATGGAGAAATGTCACCAGCAAGGTACATTCAGGGACCACTCGGGAGCCACTTCCCAGGAAAGCCTGGGCTCTGTGGCAGGCCTCCAGGAGAGCCCTGCTCTGGGGCAGACAGGATGGCGAGGAGGAGCGTGGCTCAGGCGCGGAGCAGAGCTCTCCCGGGAAAGAACGGCTCCCGCTGACTTCATTCTCTCTTCTTCCTTAAAGCTGAAGTGAGTCGTGGTTCCTGCCTGGGAGCAGTACATACAGGAGATAGTACAGTTAGGAAACAATACCCACTGGCTTGCAGCTGCAGCTGTTTGCACCTCAACTCTTCATTTCCATTCACTTCTCATCCCACTCCTCTCTTTGCAGACGTCTTAGCCAGAAAGGGAAGACAAGTGTGCGGGTGTGCGATACATACAGATACAGGAATGTGATTGTATGCAAATGCTGGGGCCAGTAAGCAGTTACTTCTCGAGGAGGCAGACTTCACAGAGGGACGAGTGAAACTGGGGCTTCCCAGCAGAAGAAGAAACCAGTGCTGTTCTGGTGGAGGTGCAGGGGTGGCCAGCTTCAAACGCCTTAGCACGGAATGATCTGCAGCCACGTGGGTCCTCTCCCAGATAGGAGCGAGGCTTCATGGTGCAGATCTCCTCCCTGAAGCTTCACCACCTCTGAAACGTCAAGGCATCAGGGTCTAACTGACTTAGTGCTACAGAGCATCTGCTGAGGTCCCCTCTGCCTCCAAAGGGCAGTCTGACCCTCCGGAGAGGACAACAGCTGTGGGTATGGCACCTCTCACACGTGAGGCAGGGGGGGTCTTGTGGCTGCGCCCATCTGCCCCCAGTTGGCTTCAGCCATGCTGCAAAAAAAGAAATGGCCGGATTTGCCAGGAAGACATCAAGGAAGACAACAAAAGGCCATTTTTGGCAAACATTTTCTTCCGCCAGACATAACGCTTACGGGGGAGGAGGCGGTTTCCTCCACAGGACAGGGCAGGGGTTCTTGGCATTAGGGGGTGCAGGAGGTCAGGTGCCCCACGTGGCGAGAGCCGTGGTTTGGTTCACAAGAGCCATATCTTTCACAGAAAGAACAGCATTTCCTGCCACAGTGACTCTTACAAGAGCAGGTGACTTTGCCAGGAGGGGGAGCTTATGGAGAAATGAATTCTCTTCCTAAAGTCTCAGAAACAAACGGCAGACGCACATACACGCAGGGGGAAGATTTCTCTTGGCCAAGGGGACAGGGAAGTCCCCAGGGTGCTGATGTGCTGCAGGCCCCTTGCTTTGTCCAGGCTCACACTGGGGAGCAGTGCAGCCACAGGAAAACTCATGACACATGGTGGTTAACTGCACGTCCCCACTACGTGGCATGTTTGCTACTGGGCTCCTTGGCTGAACCATCCAGGGACTGTGAACCTGACCCGTGGAGCTTCTCCTTTCCTCCTTCCTGGAGTCTTTACTTTGGTCATGTTGAAGCCTTCAGAGACTGGATTAAGCCTCCCATTCCTAAATGACTGGGGCACAGAGGAGATCTGCCTCATCAGAGGGGGCACCATGGACACTAGGGAGGAGCATAACTCTGGTGAGACTGTACAAGGACCCTCTTTGCTACAACATAGTCAGGGCTTTCAGGTGTCCTTCCTTTCCCCCCTTCAGTTCCATGAGACAAACTAAATTGCTTTCATCCTGACCGCAAGCACGCTCAATATTCAGTCTCTCCAAGACCTGGGAACACTCCCAAAAGGTGAATTGCTCCCTCCTGAGAAAACGAGTAAGTTGGAGGCAAGAAGATGCTGAGGCTACAGCCAGTCTTTGAAATGGACCTCTGGACAGACAGCCCAGTTAACCCCTCTGGGGACAAACCTGGCTTTGTCTGTTTTGGAAGAGGGAGGAGCTAGCTCAGTGCACCTTGGGAAAAGATCTTCTTCACTGTGGCACTGGGTCCGAGAAGGAAAAACAGTCTGTTTTGGAAAACATATATGTTTACTTCCAAAGAGATCATCTAGGACCAAATACCCCCTGGGAACTCCACACTGTGTGGAGGGCAGGGTAAGTCTACAGTTCTTTGAGTGACCAAAAAATAAACGATAAAAAAGCAACAGCCCAAAAGACAGCAACTGATGTGAGTCAAATTAGTCCAAGAGGAACATCTGCTATGTACAGCAAGTGCCTCTGTCCATTGGGGTGAGGGGGTATGTTCCCACAGGTGCTGGAAGAAGCCTTGGACCTTCCTGCTCCTGCTGGCTGGGCAGAGCTCAGCCACTGTGTTGGAGCACAGACACTGAAACAAATGAAACAAGAACAACAAACCCCACTGTGTTCCTCAGGGTTCCCGGTATATCTCTACTTCTCTCCCTCTGTGCGTCCCTACAGGTGCTTCTGCCTCTTTAGTCCATGGTTCCTGGGTGGATGCTGAGGACTGGTGGCTCTAGGCAAGTGGGAGAGTAGTTGAGGTGAGGCTCTTTGATCCACAGCAAGGGAACCCCATTCTTGCCCTCCGAGTTCTTGCTGGAGTTTCGGCTCTTGAACCGCACCAGGAGGATGGTGATGATCAAGATGCCAAAGATGGGGAAGGGGTAGAAGAACACAAAGTAGAAGAGGGCATCATTGGAGCAGATGACAGACTGCAGCGTGGAGCCTGGAAAGAGACACAGGGTGGTCACATTTCATGGTTTCTCTCTAATCAGGGCATGCAAACTTCCTCAGAAACACAGAAAACCAGATGCTCATTATTCTATGTCAAAGCAGGAGGTGGAGCTCTGGGAAAAATAACAGTGTTAGAACAGAAGAAAGTTGTAAAGGCATGTTTCAGCTTTATCCCCCCCAAGAGTTTCATGAGTGATAAGAGTCCTCCCTGGTGGAGATTTCATAGTATCTTATACACCCTTGAGCTGACTGGAAAAGTACCAGCACCCCAGACTTGCCCCAGTCCCACTCACTCCTTGGTCTTTTCATCTTGGTTGAAGGGAAGATGCAGAGGATGCCAGGGCCACGGCCCCAGACAGTCATCACCACTTCTCACCTGCATCCTGCACGTGCACAGCGACCATGCCCGACTCCTCCTCAGCCAGCCGGTACCAGACTCCGTTGGGATCCGCCAGCCACTCCTCCACTCGGCACGAGTAGTTGCCCGTGTCGGCACCGCCCGCCTGCAGCACCGTCAGCCGGAAAAGCACTGCCGAGAGCCTCTGGAAGCGCAGGCGGCCCTCCCAGCGACCAGCCTCGGGGCTGAAGATGGCATCAGGGCCCACACTCAGCACCGCTTCCCTCTCCTCCTCCTCTTCCTCCCCTTGCTCCGCGTGGTCGCTTGCCTCCTTGGCCCGCAGGCTGTACCACGTCACTGCAAAGTGGGACTCTGGGCTGGAGCGGGACAGGATGCTGCAGTCCAGTGGGAAGGACTCCTTCTCCTGCACTGTGAGGTTGGCAGTGGCTGTGTCCACCTGCAAGGTGGGATCTGAGAGGACAAAAAATCAGGAAGTGAGCACTGAGCTATCATCAAAACCACCCTGGGCTGGAGCGGGACAGGATGCTGCAGTCCAGTGGGAAGGACTCCTTCTCCTGCACTGTGAGGTTGGCAGTGGCTGTGTCCACCTGCAAGGTGGGATCTGAGATGACAAAAGTCAGGAGGTGAGTGCTGAGCAATCATCAAAACCACCCCGTCTCAACACAAACTGTCATGACTCTGGTGCAAGGAACAATCCAAGCAAAACCCAAATCTTGATGCAGCCTGCCAAGACTCACAGGGACCTCTGAGGCCAACCCTGCAGGCACAGCATCCTCACCTCACCATGCACCATCTGGCATGGGGTCAAACAGGTGCTGGCTGCAAGCACCATCCTACCCCTGCCCACTCTCACCCCAGCTAAGGGATGAGAGTAGAAAGCTGCTGCAGCTCATCCAGACATGCCGTGTGTCAGGATACCAAGGCCTGGTACATATACTGAGGAGCCACGTGCTATTCCTCCCCAGCTACTGCTGCACAGAACATTGCACTTCCTGCTTTTTATTTCTTTGAGATAAAGGACTTGAGATTTCTTTGCTCAAAGGACTTGAAAATCATTATGACAGAAGACGACCTTTTCCAGCAGCTTGGAAAGTCATTTAGGTAAGAGGTTCCTCCATAGAGATGGTCTCAACACTGATGCAGCAAGGATGCTCCGAAAGTCTTCCTCATTTTTTTTCCTCTAGTGCTTGCTGCAAGGCTAAAGAGATGTTTCTACCTAACTGAGACGCAGTGGCCAGAACCCACGATGAGTTGATTAAAGGCTGACTTCAAGAGCAATTAACATTTGATTTAGTCATCTTGCCAGGAAGCACATACTCCAGGGATCACAATCAGTCTGGATCTAAGCTTTCATTTAAAGATTAAAAAGCCCTTTCCAAAGTGGGAGCTGAGCAGGAAGGACAAGTCGATAGAGAGAGAGGCACTTTCTTCTCCAGTAAGGAGAGCTGGGCAAACCCTCTCTTGTGCAGACCCTGAGTGTCTCTCAGGAGGGGGCTGCTGTCCCTCAGCTCTCATCAGCCACAGAGCTGCTGTGCCCAGTGGGCTTCCCATTACAGCACCTGCCCAGCACTTTTTAAATGGTCCCATGAGGAAAACCTCAATTAAGGCCAGAGCTCTTCAGGACATAAGCAATATGAGTATTTGCAGTTCACATCTTCCCAAAGAAGACTCCTGAGCAGAAACAGGAATGAGTTAAGTAATGAATTTTGGGGATGACAAAGGTAAAAAGGAGGAAGGGACAGAAATGGCTTGTCAAACCTAACACAAAGCCTCCCTCACCTTTAGCAGGTTAAGCAGAAAGAGGAGAACTGATGTCTGAAGGTGCTGAGAGGTTCCCCCCTCCCCTTGCTGATGATTATAGCCCTGAGAGATGAGGCTGGAGATCCTCACTAATGAGACATGAGTCACAAGCACAGTTAGTCATTTTGTTAAGTACTGACTGCTATGAAACAAAAACAAACAACAACAAAGCACTTCTAGAAAAAAAAATCTTCAATTAGTGAACTCCCAACTCCCTCTCTTCTTCCCACTCCACATTCTTCTGCAATTCAAAAGGAGCCTCAGAGATTTTTCCTGCTGTTCATTATCCCCTCCATCACGGCTGGCAATTGTCACACTGGATGGAGAGCTATAGTGACAACCCAGCACTGCACAGGGATTGCCTGGGGAGGTCTCTCTGCTCAAGCCGCTCTGGCCAGCAAAACTTCCCAAGCAAAGATGTGGCAGATAAGAGCTCTGCTGTCCCTTGCTCTTCCTCCCCAGTCTGCCAGGAATGACCACTAAAATCTTTCCAGAACCTCGTGCTTTTGCCAGCTCTGCTGCTCAGTTACAAGGCTGACATTTTGCTGGAATGGGCAGCCATGAAGCACTGCAGAACATACAGAGTGGTTGCTTCAGAAGCTGGAAAGTACTCAGTGAAGGAGGACTGTACTGTTATTTGTCCTACAACCTTTAAGACAGACATTTGATCTTGAGTCATATAACACAAAAACTAGGGAATTTGTATTTTCCAAGGTAAACTGCCTTTGTATCTTATCTGTTGTTAAAACAGGCAAAACTTAGCAGAGTACTCTGGGAATCTGCTTTTAAGGGTTTAGGAGTCCATCAGTGCTGGTCAATCTTAAGAATCATCTTTTGGGAGCACTGGAGCAGGCAGCTCCACTGTGTCCTAAGTCAAGCAATGTTGGCTGAACAGCAACTCCTTGTGGAGCTCAAGAGGAGAAAGAAATGGTATGACCTCTGGAAGCGAGGCTCTGCAGGAAGATTACAGAGCTGTAATTCACTTATTCAGGGAGAAGAGACAAATGTCAAAGCTCGGTTAGAGTTGAAATTGGTCAGTGTTGTGTAAGCACTTTTAAAAAGCAAGAAGATGTCTGAAGAAAATGTTGAACTGATACCTATTGAAGACAGTTACCTATTTAATAGGGATGAAGAAAAAGCAGAGGCAAGTCAATGTTTTTTTGCCTCAGTCTTTAATAACACTGATAGACCTTGGCTGCCCAGTCCCATGAGTCAGAGGACAGTGAGTTCAGGAACAGTAACTTTGCCATCTGCAGACTCTGAAATTGTGAGGGATGAGCTATATCAGCCAAGTGTCCACAAGTCCACAGGGCCTGATGGGACTCATCAGGTGTTAGGGCAGAGCTCCTCCTGAACATTATCCAAGGGCCCTGCGAGTCTGGGGAAGTGCTTTTTGGCTGGAAGCTGGCCAGTATGTATTCCAATTTACAAGAAGGACATGAGAGAAGACCCAGGAGACTACAGACCTGTTAGTCCAACCCGAGTTCCTGGAAAAACTATGGAGAACATTATTCTGGGTTCTACTAAAAGGCATTCACAGAACAATGCAGTCATCAGACACAGCCAACATGGCTTCAAAAAGGGGAAGTCTGATTGAATAATTAAATATCCTTGTGTCACCTGCTCTGTCAGTGGATGAAGGGAAGGCAGTAGATGCAGTTTTTCAATTTCAGTAAGGCTTTTCACATTGTCCCTCACAGCACCCTTCCAGCTGTGGGATGGGGGGTTCATGGTGCACTGGGTGAAGAACTGGCTGAAGGGCAGAGTTCAAAGGGATACAGTGAATGGGGCTACTTCTGGCTGGTAACTGGTCACCAGTAGTGTTCCTCAGGGTTCAGTTTTAGGGCCAGTGCTGTTCAGTATATTTATCAAAGATCTGGATACAGGAGTTGAATGCACCATTAGCAAATTTGCTAACGATACCAAGCTGGGAGGTGCTGCTGATTCTCTTGAGGGACAAGAGGCCTTAAAAAGTGATCTAGATAGAGTGGAGCTCTGGACTTTAATTAATGGAATGGAATTTAACAAACTGAAGTGACTGGATTTTACACATAGGTCCGAGTAACACCATGCACAAGTAGAACTGGGAGAGGAGTAGCTAGAGAGCAGCCCTGCAGAAAGGGATCTGGAGGTGCTGGTTGTCAGCAAGCTCAGTAAGAGTCAGCAGTGTGCCTCCACTGCCCTCTTCACAGGAAAGGACCTTGCCTCTGAAGCACACACCTGGGAAGCACAGGTAGCTTCTTCCATTCTATTCTCAATCAAAATGTGAGTAAAATCAGAAGCCTACCCTGTGCTGAAAAAAAGAGAAAATTGTAGATGCAGTGACAAAATGCCAAGCCCATCTAGTTGTATTTGCAGAACTTGCTCTACGCTCTTTCCAGAAAAGCAAGAGTCAAGAAGACATGGAAAAAGGAATCAGCGTGGCCTGTCCTGTGGTCCTGCCCTGTGCCTGGACCCACTGTCACTGACCGACATGGTGATTTGTGTCTGCCCAGGAGGGCACGAGGCCGCTCAAGGCACATGGCACCCGACCCCACTGACCTGGCTGCTTGACTGTGAGGGTGCTGAGCCCGGAGAGGTCCTCTGCCCGCTTGTACCAGCGCTCACTGGGGTCCAGCAGCCACTCCTCCACGCGGCAGCCGTAGGCGCCGCTGTCGCGCACGGTGGAGTTCTGGATGGAGAGCAGGAAGAGGCCCGGCGCCGGGCTCTCCAGGTGCAGCCGGCTCCGCAGGTCGCCCAGCGCCGCCGGCTCCCCGTAGTGCAGCGTGCTCTGCCGGCTCAGCCAGGCCACCACCTCCTTCTCGGCGCGGCCCGGCCGCCACACGGACCACTCCACCGAGAGCTGGGATGAGGGGCTGGTCCGGTTCTTCACCAGGCACTCCAGGGTCACCCACTCGTTCTCCAGCACCGTGATGTTCCTGTGGGTCTGGTTGACCTGCAGGCGGTTATCTGTGGGAAAAGCCGGTTAGAAATGCAATGTGACCAAGGGGGCCTTTGTCACCCCACAAGCCTTTCCTGCATGGCAACAATCCTGGGGTGTGATGAAAGAAGTAAGGAAGTAGAGGAAAAAATGATGGAAAAAGGAAAAGACAAAAAAAAAATAGAGGAGGAGAAGAAAATACAGCTTGTGTTTTTTAGGGTCTTCTGAAAATCTCAGTCACCAATGACCCATTCAGTGCAGGGAATTGGAAACCCACAATCTCCCAACAGGACCTGGGAGGTTCTAAGTGCACAGAGACCTAATGAAGGGAGATCACACCTCACTCTTTTCTTGTTCTCCTCCTAGGACGAGGCAGTAGCCTGATCACATCCCAACTAGTAAGCTCCCTGTTGTGGAAAAAAGAAAAAAAAACGGCAGGGTAGAGAACAGACAGCTGATTATAGGGAAGCCCCGCTGCAAAACAAGAAGTGGCATGAGGGCCAAGTCACACGCAGTGTTTGGCTGCCCCGGGAATGTCCCTGGTTTGTGCTCCACAACTTCATTGATACACAGGAGGGTGACTGGAATCAGCTCTTTTACACGAAATGACGTGTCCAACTCTCCTAAATCCCTCACAATTCTTTCCAGGGCCAGCCTGGACTTCCCTGGTACCGCTGCTGCAGCAAGCAACAAGCACCGTACTTCCCAGAGAGATGTGGGTGATGCAAAGGAGGGGACAGTCACAGCTCCCCTGTCCCTGACCACCCCTCAGCCATCTTGGGACTCTGCAGACAGAAATGAGGAGCTGGCACTGGCAGCAAGCCATGTCCTGCTGTGCTTCCTGTGTGTGAGACCAGGCAAAGCTGAACTGGGGACCATATCTAATATCCCTCTTGCACCCTTGTCCACAGAGCTTTTGTCTAGCCAGCCAAATCCAGACAGAAATAATGCACTAAACGCCCTACTCCAGCCCTAATATCCAGCTGCATCCATCCTGCCTGAGGGATTTTATCTTCCAGATACAGGGAGCTGGAGCAAGCAAGGACAAGGCAGGCTTTCTCATGAAGTACCAATGCTCTGGACAGTACCTGCCTCCCTGCCTCTCCCCTTTGCCCCAGCATGTGGGGACTAAATTTAGCCCCTCCACCAGCTCATCTTTGTCAGTGTAATCCACTGCCACGGAAACCACCCACAGAGCAGATTTCTCCTTTCCTGGCAGCCAGCTTCCCACCTCATTAAACGTTATTCCCATCTCATGTGCAAAGGGAAAAGACACAAGGCTCCCTGTGCCTGCCAGGATCCAGAGAATAAAATTAAACTGTGTGCAAGACATAAAATTGCTTTCCCAGACAGGCACACACACAGGGGTTCTCTCTCAGTAAGTCACTAGCTGACACTCTTGCTACATGATGCTCTGAAAGATAATGAAACCTGGCTGGATGCAGTGGCCCTACAGACTATGGGGGATGGACAACCTTCACGTGGGGACACTGAAAGGCACACAAGCTCAGCCTGGAAGGACAGGAGTCACATCAAAGGAGGGAAAACCCTCGTTCCACGCAGGGATGTGCAGGCATGAGGTTGCAAGGACAGTGTGGCAATCTCACAGGCCGTGCCAAGAGGACCCCACCTGGCTGCTTGACGGTGACCTCGGTGCGGCCTGACACCTCCTCTGCCAGCTTGTACCAGGCGTGGTTGGGGCTGAGCAGCCACTCCTCCACGTGGCAGTAGTAGCTGCCGCTGTCGCGCACCTCTGCCCGCTGCACGGTCAGGCTGAAGAGCCCGCCCGAGGCGGAGCGCTCGAACTGCAGCCGGCCCCGCAGCCCCTCCTCCTCCGCGTAGGTGCCGTACTCGAAGGCCGAGCTGTGGGTGGTCTTCAGGATGAGCTTTCCGTCAGCATCCGAGGGCTTGTGCACGTACCACAGCACGGCGAAGTGGGAGTCGGGGCTGGTCTGGGATTTCACCGAGCAGTTCAGGGGGATGGGCCGGTTCTCCACCAGGGTGATGCTGCGCTTCGACTTGCTCACCTGCAGCTTGGTCACTGTGAGGGGGAATGGAAAAGGATGAAGAGAGATGGGTCATTAACACAGGAAAGAAATTCACCGGATTTGGGGTGGAACAGAGAGTCCCCTCTTGCATGGGTCCCATATGCCTTTAAGACATTTAGATATTATACCAAATCTCTCCTTTCAACCCCTGTCTACTCCTGGATCCTCCCACTGTGTCCCTCAGCACAAGAGGCTGTTTTTTCACAGTCTGACCTTTAAAAGACTTTTTAATTCACAGTGGTCTAAGGCACCAGACTTAGTAAGATGACTACACCCAAATTCAGTGGTTTTTCTCATGGTGAAATCATACCACTTGTACCTCAGGGCAATGAGCTGTTAACCAGTTCCAGAGAAAACCACTTCTGAGAAAGCAAATTAAATGAGACCCCACCGCTGTCACATGCCAGCCATCTCAGTGAGATGTATCCCACAGACACGCAATAGCTAGGGGAGGAAGTGCAGGCACAACTGGAAAAGGAGAAAGAGCACCAGACTGGAAGGGATCAGCAAGGAGCAAGCTCTGCTCCCATCCAGGAGATCTGGCTCCAAGTCCACCACAAACTGCACAGCCCAGGACAAGCCACAGGCCCATCATCTCTCCTGGCTTCCCAAGCACAAATGCAGTTCCCACACTGTAGCTAAGCAGCCCCATGGTGTTGAGGATGATACAGCAGAATCATTAGCTCTAGTTCCTGTAAGGAGAGACACACAGATTCCCAATTCCCCCCTCACTGTACAAACACAAGACACAGCCTCTGCTGCAGTGTGTGCCCATGCTGTGCTTGTCACCTCAGCCCTGAGCCAGGGCATTCCAGTTGGCAGGGGAGGACACAAGGCGCCCTCCTGTGACACTTGTGCTCTGTGCCCTGGAGTCCCTGTCAGCTGCAGACAGGGCAGAGGGGCAGCTCCTATCCAGCAAAACACACCACTCCTCCCAGCAGCTCTGCCACCATGGGCCTCCCCTCCTTCACCTGTCCTCACCCAGCTGCTCCCCTCGGAAAGGGGGAACGCTGCCTTGCTGCTGACAAGCTGCAAATCTCTTCAATAAAACTTGCAGAGCGCATGGGTCCAAGTGGCACGACGAAAAGTGTGGCACCACAGGCACAAACAACTGAAGGCTGCCAGGGGACCCGTGCCCATCCACACCCTGGAAACACATCCCACACATCCTGTGTTTGTGAGGAAGCAACGTTGTCCTCTCTCTCTCACCAAGGCACGAGCTCCTTGCTTTGCATGATGCTTTGCTTCCAGCTTCCCTTGGGCACCAGGGCCTCGGATGCCTGTCGGCACAAGTGATGAGTGACAGTGCCCAGGGAGAGGATGGGCACAAATAACTTCAAATGGGAGGAACTCCCACCACAGCAATGCTTTCTGCGCTATCACATCTGAGATAGGCATCCTGGTATCGCATCAGACATTCCCCTGGAGCCTGGATTGCCCGTGGCTTTAATCAGTATGCTAATAGACTCCTGCCTGTGGTATGGCATGCAGACACTGCAGGAAGGAAAGGAGGGAAACTGTCCTTGTTTTGCCTCCCCAGGGACTTCAACCTAATGGAAAGAGTCAGTGTCACCCTCTTGTATTTCTGCCATACCCCAGACACATTCCATCCCCTTTGTTTCTCTCCAGGACAACAGCCTTAGCCACCACACCCACCCTCATCCCAGCTTTTTGGCTCACCATTGGTTAAGAACGGTTATTTTGAGCATTAATCAATCTTCCAAGTCCCTAGGAGATGAACCAATAAAGGAGAAGGTGGTTCTCAGCAGTTTCCTCTCTCCCCCAGCCCCCTTTCCAAACAGTTTATTTTTAATTGGTACTGGATTATTTTCTGCAACCGTTACTACGGAAACCTTTGTTACTATAGCAACTGTGTATGTTAAGTCAGTAGCCCTATATCTATTAAAATGCAGTATATACACACATGCTGTGTGTGGTGGGTTGCTCAATATCAACACACACACACACACACAGCCAGGGTACACACAGACCAGAGCTGCTGAGAGGCAAGCACCCCTCTCTGACAGTGCTCTTCCCACATTGTGGCACCTCCAGGAGATTAAATGAGGATGGCTGACACTGAGCAATTCTAATCTTAGTGTTTGGGGCAACAGACCCACCTTGTACATGACAGATGTATTCCACTGAAGCAGTGAGAGCTTGCTCCCAGACAATAATCACAGTAATTGTCACTGTGTACAAACAGCACGGACCCCTGAGGTCATCCAAGGACTCTCAGATGGCCCCTCAGCAGCTTTCCCTGCTCCCATGCAACCTTTGGGAAGAAATCTTTTTGAGAGCAATGGGGAAGCAATCTTACTAACTCTGGCAAAAATGAGATCTTAAATTTCACACCCCCACCCCCCCATCCTTCCAAGCCATCCTTGGCAGCCACTGCAGCCATCAGTCAGGAATTTGCCCACATTTGTGCTGAGTCCCCCAAGATACTGAATGAGGTAGTGCTTCTACAGCTGCTACCAGCTGGAGCAGCAAGCCCTGGCAGGGAATCACAGGTCTTCTCTTTGCCAGACTATACTCTTGCAGCGGTTTATAACAGTATGCACAAAGTTTCCTCTAGATTAGAGGTATCAGTGATATGTAATGACATCCCTGCCAATGCACTTTTCATCAGACATGAATTATTTTCCTAAGGGAGGCACACCGCAGAAGATGCTAGTGCAGGTTCTGTTTCCCTCTCACAGAATTAGAGAGGACATTCTCAGTCTTTTCCAATTCTGTGAATGCCAAACGCTTCCAACATCCTGGAGCTGGTTCCTGCATAGTATACAGGCACCCAGCTCTTCTCCATTACCTTTTGCAGATCCTATAGTAGTGATTCAAGGCTTTTATGGACCACAGGCTGGTAACAGCTAAATTGGAAATGCTGTGGCACACAGGTTACCTTGGGGCAGCTTCACCCTCAGGGCAAAGATCCTCATTAAGACATGGGAAGCTTTGTGGGGTAACTCGAACTTCTGCTCTCCCACGGAGCTGACCATCAGCCACTGTTCACAGATATGCAAACATATCCACAAAGCTCATTTTGCATTTAGGAAAAATATTTTAAAAGGGGAAAACAGATAATATTGAAGATGGTGGTCCAGGGTAATGGGAGTGGCACAATACAACAACAGGGAGTCCATCCATCTCTTCCCATTCTGGTAGCAAGCCTATTCCAGTGCAACTGAGTCCCTCGATGCCATGTGCAGCTTGCCAGGTCATGTTAAGAGATGCTGCTATGACATGGAAATGTCATGGAAATGCTGCTGGTGCACCAGTAAGGTTGCAAGAAGTCTGATACCCCAGGCACCCAGCCAGCAAAACCTCGCCCTACTGACTGGGGAGAAACTCCCTTTCCTGGCTGGAGGATTTGCCTGGGCAGAGAGCCAGGAAAGGGCTCAGTCTTCAAAGGCTGAGTTGATCCGGTGTGCCCCAGGGGCTGGGGTTTAGGTGAGGCAGGGCAGGGCTGCTCCAGCCCCGTGTCAGGCAGCAGAGGTGGTGGGCACAGCCATGTGAACAGACACGGCTACTCAGAATTTTCTGCTGGCTGTCAAGAGGCTGATGTTCTCTTAACAGCCTCCTGAACATCTGCTCTGTGAGAGGAACAGGTGCCTGCGTCTAGGTGAAGTTATCGTGCATATCATCTGCAAACCATAATCCTGTTGCCACAATGTCTCCTGGCTCCCTGGAGAGTGCCAGTAAAGAGGATATTGTACCTTAATGTACTGTAATTGGCCCTGCATATGCTATTAAGGCTTTCAATTTACACAGACAACAAGTCATGGTTAGAAAACTCTTAGTTTTTTTAATCATTATCTCAAGATGCCTGTGGCAGCTTCTGGTCCTCAGAGCTTGCACCTCTGGCTGGGACCTCAGGTCTGACACTCTTTACATCCACAGCAAGCGATGACACAGCCAGATCCTCTACAAGCTGATATGCAGTAGATGTTTTCTCCACACCATCAAGCAATGGTAATCAGTCTCCTCAAGCTGAGCATGTGGGTAAGCACAGTTATACAAATATTTGGGGGATGGGAGAGCAGTCATTAGAGGAGGAGGACTGAGACAGTGATGTGATTCATGGTTTTTCTGCTGACTTGCTGCCTCTTGGCTCCCTCCCCTCCGTTTCCTCATCATCAAGCTGGGGTTACAACACTTATCTTTAGCAAAGCACTTTGCAACCTGTACCTAAAAATGCTATGATAAGAAGATGCTCCGTCTCAAACACCTTACAACATTTTGCCTTGTAGGCAGCAAGCAAACACAACAGCAGGAGTTTACTTCCCACCTGGGAGCCACTATTACCAAGGCCTGGGAATGGCACTGTTTAATTGCAGCTGAAGATAGCATTTCCCCAAAACAGCCCCACACAAAACACCAGAATGTTGCCCCTGCAGCAAAGGAGGAGGGAGCCATCCGCTGGGGAAGGAGGCAGCTCTGCATGAAGCAGCAGCTGTGGCACACAAGGGGAGGCAGGAGAATGGCCACCACCATCCCAGGGAGTCCCCAGAAAGCCCTGTCACCAAAGCAGGGAGGCGGTGTCCCACTTTGGAGGCTGCTGCTCACTGGGGAGAGCTCCTCCAGAGAACACTTTTGCTTGGAAAAAAGTGATGAAATGTTGCACAAAGTTTTCCGGGGAAATGTCCTAATTTTAAAAGCCTCCAGCGAGATTTCACTGTGCTGAGGTGTGTGTGCAGGGGGAGCAGAAATGAGGCCAGCCCAACCTGAGCCCAGCTCCGGTTTAACACCCTACAGTGGGCTTAGCAGGGCAGTCAGGAGAGATCCTTTTCCAGCAGCACAGTGACTTCTACAAGGAACCCCTCTGTCCCCAGCACACTCAGTGTACAACCCTGAAGGGCAGTGGCCAGGCCTTTGGCACAAACTCAGCCATCCCCTCAGCCTGTGGTCACATCCCAGAGGTGCTTCATCATTTCCCTCACTAGTGCCAGAAAAGTACTCGGTGCCTGAATTCCCCCAGGATGTTGCCTGGGAT